ACTGATTCGATAATGTTGCTATTGACAATTGAATTACAATTTAATATTGAGGAGGCATTATCCAAGTCAATGAAATGCTTATTATCTCTCATATGAATGAACAGACCATTGGATTCCTGGCCTGTTCTAACACTATATTTATGCTGTTTAAGTCTAGTTATAAGATCTTTACCCATCTGGCCTAAGTAGAACATATTACATTCCTTGCAAGGAACCTTCTAAATGCAGCCACCTGCATTGCTCGGGGATTTCTTAATTAACATTTGTTTTACAGAGGCATGAATTACTAAATGTTATATTTACGTTCCAGGTTTTTAGTTGTAGAGGAATTTGAGATAATTTTTTTTAAAGGTAATACTAAGAGGTTCTTATTGTCATGGGTGGGCTTGGGATCATTTTTATAAACAGATTTCTTAGCTATGTTAAGGCATTTGTCTCTAAAAGAAATAGGGTGTGCGTGTGTGTGTGTGAATGGATCATCTGAAAATTCTTCACGCCAATCCGCTCCGCCTAACCTAACTTAACGTTACCTCAGGTCAGGTCATCTAAGTGTGTGCATCAGCTTTCGGTTCAGGTCAAGGTCACACATCCCCCACCCAACTAGTTAAATTATCTCTCCCGTCTCTTTCGCTTCAACGGTCCTCTTGTTTCTCTAAGTACAGTGGGATCACCTGAAACTGGAGCGATGCTTCTTCGGGTGATCCGTACAGTGTACTTAATTGTAAGATTGAGATAAAATATAGAGACTGGATATACACCCACAGGTTTTTAGCGCATCTCTTATCCACCTTCCTTCCTCCCCTGACAGTCATCCACGCCGCTAAGAGAACTAGGGACACCACTCAAGAAAGTTGGCCGAAAGAAGTTATGCGGATTCCTTCCTGTGCCGAGCCTCTTGAGGTGGGTTGGTTATTACCTGTGTTGCCTTATGTCACACCCCATGTAAAGTACAGTACCTGAACCCCCACACACTTTAAGTACTATATGGGAGAATGGTGCTACTATAGCACGCTGTCTATCGAGCTGGAGTTGGCCTTCCGGGATATTTAGACTTTAGCGTCTATTAACCCAACCTGAAATGACCTAACTTAATCTAATATATCTTAATCTAACCTAACTGAACTTTTGTTTTTCTTTTTTTCTTTTTTTACGGGGATTAGCCCACCCGGGCACAGGTCACTAGCCCACATCGGGGCCTGGGGGGCGAAAATGTAATAATATTAAATAATAATAATAATAATATTAATAATAATATTAATAATAATAAATAAAATTAATAATAAAAAAAATTAAATAATAAAATAATAATGATAATAATAACAATAACAACACTGTAATAATAATAATAATAAAGAACCATAAAGAAATACAAAAATGAAAAAAATTAATAGTGAGAAACAATATATGTTTGGTGTGTTGTCAAAGTAAGAGAAACAATTGAAACCCTGGAATTGAGTGTAAATGAGGCAGAAAGTCAAATCAGCAACCTGGGACTTGGTCACAATTTTCGTGATGCCATATGGCAGCAGGGTCTACCATTGGACAACACATTATAAGAACATAAGAATGGGGGAAACTGCAGCGGGCCTATTGATCCATACTGGGCAGTCCCGTTTACACCCAACCCCTATTGCTCATATAAGCATCCAACCTATGTTTGAAGCTATCCAGCGTATTCGAGTTAATGATGATATTTGGTAACTTGTTCCATTCATCCACTACTCTGTTTCCAAACCAGTGTTTACCTATTTCACGCCGAAATTCCACCTCCTGCTCCTCCCTTAGAGCAGGTGCCCAAGAAACAGCCACCAATGAACACACCATTCCTAACGGACGAGGAGGAGAGCGACTCAACCATGAACGCCGAGAGCAACTACAGCACCAGCGACGAGGAGATAATGATAGAATAGCCCCACCTCCTAGTCATCTCAAGATAACACAGTGGAATGTACAAGGCCTGTCCAACAAACGGCATACTGTACAAGCAGCAGCCATAGCTAAAAATATTGATGTCTTCATTCTGCAAGAAACCCTGATGTACAAAGATGAACAATTCCGCTTGCCTGGATACCAACAGTACTCTTTACCAAAGGGGCCCAACTCCCATGGCAGCATGATTCTCGTCAGGGCGACCATCCCCAGTTCAGAAGTAGAACCAGTTCACTGTGGAGATGGAGTAGAGGCACAAGCTGTTCGGATACACCTGGCAAACGACAGTCTTGTAGTATACTGTAGTGGACGTCTCCCCTACAACTGCGTATCCGCATTCCGATGCGCCGCCGTATCCTAGCAACCAAGCGAGCGGCGACAGCAGATGTTACCATAACCTAGCAACGGAACTAGAGACCGGCGACTTTCTCGGGTTTTCCCAACATGACTCATAGAGGACTCACGGCTGCTGGGTATATAAGCTCTGTCTCTCCATTAAGATTCATTCTAGCCTCTCTTCTACAACACGCAACACCTCCTCCTCCGCCGCTGCCTGGCGGCCCTCGCCTCTCTTCCGCCTGCCTGGCGGTCCCCGCTCCCGCCAGCGAGCATGGCGACCCACCAGCTGTCCTTCTCTGAGCTTCCTCACCAACCAGCTCTCTCATTCTGGTCTCTCTTCTTGAACAAGCAACACCTCCTCCAGCAAGCTCCACGCTGTCAGCATTCATTCAACCAGGAGGCCAGCAACAGGCAACATCTTCTCTAACGAAGCTCCTGCACATCTACCTCCTTCAACACGCTACTCACCGAACGTCTCTACTGAGCAGCTCCTCACCACATGGCACCTCCAGCACCAGACTGCCTATCATATAACTTATATTATACAAGAAAACCACCTTAGAGTTTCCATCCATCCTGAGTGCTAGACAACATTATACCACGAACTCCTACAATACAATATCAATACACCGCCACCCAAACGACTAGAAGCCGGTGAACTACTGACACAAGCAACACAGGAACTTGTGCTCATTGCTGGGGACTTCAATGCCCACCATCCAGAGATCAATCCGACCGTAACAATGAACCAGGATGGTCATCATCTAGTGGAACTGCTGACAGATGTTCCAGAAATAACGCTCATTAATACTGGGACCAACACACATACTGGGAGGAACATTGGACCTCACATTCATCTCCACTGAGCTCGTTCCAGTAGCTCAGTGGGAGGTGACTTTTACAGCCTTATGTACTTTTTATGTGACGTGTGCTCTTTCCAGTGAACCTTTATCATTATGCTTCAGCAACTAGCGATGAGGTCCAAGGTCTTTCTTATTTACATGAGCGCCATTATTTTACCCGGTGTAGGACCGATGTCTTGTTCATGACTCAGTCTGTCCAGTTGTCGTAAAGTGTGTATACTGTATATTAGTATTAAGATTAATTATATGCAACTATCTGTTGGTGCATATTTAACCATCCTCCCCTGACATACTGTATCTAAATTTTACTTGCTATTATATTTCTGAGACACACTACAAATTTGTTCACTAGTGGAACTTACAAGTTAACATCCTTCAAACTATTAGACTGAAAATGGTAAAGATTCGGAAAAGATCGACCACGGAAACTACTAACCAAAATAGGTGTTACAAGCAAATCTGACATTCATTTCCGCTGTAAATGGGCAGTTATGAAGATTTGACCCCCCAATTACCAACAATATTAGTTGCACAAAGTGGATAGGGCTTTGAAGTAGAGGGAAACTTTGGGGTAAAAACACGCAAAAAACTGACGAAATGAAACCTAACCAGAGAAACCAGAAAGACCTGACCTAACCTTCTAGCCAGCAGGGCTTCGTCCTTCTGGACCAACTCCCCCGCTGTGTAAAAAAAAATATGAATATAATAATGATAATTAACAGGTGCGAGAGGGTCAAGTGATGCTATTTGTAGGAGGTGGTGGAGTATAGTCTTGTGATCGTTGTATTCGGCTTGGAAAATGTACAGAGCGAAATATTGTCGGTAATGTTCCTTCTTATTGCTGGCACGAAACACCAAACTCTTGATATCCTTCCGCAATCGTTCAATATTTTGCCTATGAACGCCAGTAGCACTTCACTGAGGTTGACAGATTACCATGAGCATTAAAAAATGTCAATGGCAGCGGCTTCGATTTCAAATACACGATAATTGATTTGCCAAGCCAAGAAACAACACCCGTGCCGAGAGAAGCCATTTTGCGACTAGGCATTGTAGCTAACTGAAACTCAAAACTCGGATGACGGGCAGGAGTATCACGTGTCACCGAGAGCAACGCTGATTGGCGGGACATAGTCACGTGACACCAGAACTCGCGGTGATTGGCAGAACATACTCGCGTGAGTCAGTGATAAAACAGCGTCTCCTGCCAATCTATAAGTTCCTGTGTGAAATTTGTAAGTACAAAATACTCGAAAATTTTGAATTTTCGACGGAAACGTAATATATTCTTTTTTTGCGATATATCTCAATACTACTATAAACATGAAGTTCCGTGGTCGATCTTTTCCGAATCTTAATCTTGAAAATGCCTTGGAAATTCGGATTAAACCTTAAACTGTTGACTAGAAGCTTCTACATGTTTTACAGTAAACACAGACCTGAGTCACACATAAAATGAGAAAGTTCTAGTAATCAGCTCCCCCACAGTACGCGTGCCATCACCATCGTCACTCTGGTGATGTGCTTCGACTACTTCGTGGTCTCGCTGGTGTTCGACGGACTCAACCTCTCTGGCGACAACTACAGTGCAGACCCCTTCCTCTACATCGTGCTCGGGGGCCTGATGGAGGTGCCAGGTTACTCCCTCACCGCCCTCATCATCAACCGCTGGGGCAGGAGGACCCCCACCGCCCTCAGCTACATTCTCTGTGGCCTGGTCATCCTAGTTTTGACTTTTATACCTAATGGTGAGTCTGACATATTCCCTCTCACTCTTTGTGTGTGTGTGTGTGTGTGATACAAAGAGGTTATGCGTATTGTAACCTGCTTATTGTGATAATACTAATCAACGAATTATACAAATATACAGCAGTCATAAGCTTTAAGTATACGAAAAGCCATATAATGACGGGAGAAACTGTCATTTAACAAGGAATGTCAACGTAGTTATATTACATAAATTAGATTTTCAACGACTGAACACATGAGTTATCTACGAGTTCTTGTTATAACAGTTAGAATGGGGCAGTTCTTATGGCGATCAGTAGTCCTCGCTTCAGTTGTCATCTGACCTCACTTCAGGAAAGGTTATGGCAAATTAGCTCCCGGTGATTAATCAGACAGTTTACCATGTCTAGTGCTAGCTGGGAACAGCTCATTTCCCCTCTAAAAGCTGAGCTTGTGAAGGTTAGGAATGAAAATGTGAGGCTGAAGGAAATAATTGCGAGGCTGAAGGAGGAAGATGTGAGACGGGGAGAGTCTGTGAAAGAAGACGACGCCGGCCAGTGAAGAAGGCTAAAATAGCATCTAATGTACAAGCTCTTTTAGCCCTTTGGAGGACGATATGGGTGGTAAGACAGTTAAGGATGAGGCGAACATAAAATTTAAGAAACTGTAATTGTTGGTGATTCACAGGTAAGGTGCCTAAATCGTGCCATTTTTAATAGGGACATAAATAGGAAGATAAGAGTGTGTTTGCCAGGAGCCTGGGTGGGTGACTTAGTAAACAGGATGGACAATATTATGTCTGGTAATGGGAACAAACCCATTTTTTGCCTTGGTGCAGGAGGCACCGATATTGGCCGGTGTAGAAGTGAGAAGCTCTTTGATAAGTTCAAGGAAGCTGTTGATTGGACTAGGATGTCCTGCCTAGAAGGAGAGTTGGCAGCGAACGGTTGTTAATAGCAGTTGGTGACAGCCATCTTGACTGGTATTGCAAGTCAATATCAGTCCCATTCATTGACAACTGGGACAACTTTGCCGGCAGAAGAGACTGTATGCAAAGGATGGGGTGTATTTATCTAGGGTCGGAGTGGCATCCCTTGCTGGCTCTCTCGGGAGGGTAGTTAAAATAATGTCGAAGATGAGAGCACGGGGGTTGAGGAGACTGCAGTGGCCATGGGGATACATGACGAAATGTTACCACGAAATTGTTTGAGGAAAATGATAAGGCGAAATTAGCCAGGGTGTTAAACCCAAAGCGCGACAGAGAGAAGACTCAGATCACGACTAGCTAAAGTGTTTTCTATGCGAACAGAAGTATGAGAACTAAAATGGAAAAAATCAGTACTCTGGTATGTACTGAAAAAAAAATATATCATATCATTCACTAAAACCTGGATTAACTTAGACACGCGAGATTTACCTGTCGAATATCAATTTAAAGGTTATAAATCATTTCATACTGATCGGCAGATTAGGAAAGGGGGTGGGTAGCAATCTATGTCAGGGATAAGTTGAAGTGTGGAATCAATCAGGAAATCAAAACTGAATTGAATACAGAAACAATTTGGATATAATTAACTGATAGTAGGGAAAAATTATTAATATGAATAATATATAAACCCCTTGATCTTGATAGGGTTGAAGGGCAACTTATTTGGGCTGAAATACGTAGGGCATCCAGACATAGCAAAGTCTGTATAGTAGGCGACTTTAACTTTGGTCAGATAGTCTGGATCGACCTTAAGAGTAACTCCAAATTAGAGGATTTCCTTGAAACAGTTCAGGACTGTTTCCTAAATTATTATATACCTGAATTCACCCGGGGGAATAATATATTAGATTTAGTTCCGTCAAACAGAGAAAACCTCCATAGTAATGTCGATGTAGGGAGTGAACTACTTAGCACTAATCACAAAGAAATGAAATTCAAAATACCATTAAAGTCCCAGATTTCCGAAGGGTAAACTTTGACGGTTTAAAAAGACCACTGAGGTTGGGGCTGTAAAAATGTGGCAGGTTTTATCTGGTCCTTGTTAGTTGCATTGGAGTAACAAGTACGATGCCATATAGCTTTCTCTATGGGAAATTTTTCTTTCGTGCATTCATGTTGTTGATTTTGCACTTGAACATTGTTGCCATCAAGCAAACTGGTTCTTTTGAACTGTCTCCAACAGATGTTGTTATGAGTCTATTCTGGGTTGTTGCACATCTTCAAATTGGCACAGAAAACACAACTTCCAGTTCGTGGATTTCTGGGTTTGATGAGCCATTTGACCAAGTTTGGGCATGTCACTCATGATGTACACGTACTGTGACCCTCAGAACCTGCTAATAAAACAAAGTGAACCACTATAAACACCGCCACCACCACCACCACAGTATTGACATAGTTCATGTTTGTATGTGTTGAACACATTAATACCATAAAAATTGTTTTGACAAAACGCATAATGGCCCCTGAAGTAGTTGTACTACATTATATCTGGTACCATTAGAGTCGTTTCCCCTGAATATGTATATTTGGCCGTTAACATGAAGACCCTGGGTGGTTTAGAAGTTGAAATATTAAGAAAAATGCCTTTACGGGTGGTCATTTCTGAAAACCCCAGAGGGTTGCCATACGTACTTCCAGGAAATGGAGACAGGTTTGCTAGTTGGTTATACTCTGTAGTTTCCAAAAATGTATAGGTTTAAAAATCTCAAACAATCTGAGTGAAATTCCACAATAACAGGACAATTATCTTGCTGAGTTGCGCTACTCTGGGGTCTCTTTAGATACTGTATGTTCGCCTTTATCAAAAAACAGCACGTCTTGGAAAGACATAGAGGAGTTTATAATATCTTATTTATCTTTATTATTATTACTTAGCTGCAGAACCCGACGTTGCCGGGTTTATTTTTGAGTGATAATCTGTAGCTTTATGTCAATGACTACACTACCATCTGAACTGTATCAGCTGAATTATATCAGATACATTATCTACACGACATTATCTCCGCTACCATATACACTGTCTTCTACACTACAACAACTACTCTATTACCTACACTCTTCTTATTCCCCCAATCACCATCCTTTACCTCCGTCTCCCCTAATCCCCCCCCCCCCCTTCCTCTCAATTTCTTTTTAACGGTTAACAAATTCATTGGCAAAGTTTGAAGTACCGTTTGTCTATTCTGAGTAATTCAGTCAGGTCTTTACACTGAGGGTGCTATCACTTCTCACTGCCACGCAGGACAGAGGTTCATACACAAAGAAATAGATCATATTCATTAATAGTATTGGTCAAATTCAAGAGGATATCACTGTTCACTGTCATGCAGAACAATGGTTCATATACAGTATAAGCCATATTCTATTTGAGGACTAATCAGTGTGGGCTAGCAAATTTTGGATAGACAGTAAGAATGTCCTCAAGCACTCCTGATTCAATGTAGTAATTGCATAGTTCATGATACAGTAAGCCAAGTGGCCTGAAATCTTTGACAGTGTCACATTCAATATAATGTTTAAAATCATGCTCTAAAGGTTTTTCACAAAGTGTCTGTATCCTAGTTTAATTCTGGCCACGGCTACAATACATTGTCTGGTTCTGTCCTTTTTGTCACAATTTTTTTTTCATATTTACTACTGCTACAACTACCATGTCTCTGCATTTCTCAGTTCTTCTAGATCACAGTTCATGATTTGGACTTGTGTGTTTTTTAGTACAGCATTGGACAGGCCAAGATCCCGGTCCACATTTTTTCTCTTACGTGCCCCGTTGGCCAGTCTATCAGCACAGTCATGATTCCTAATTCCCACATGGGACGGAATCCACATAAATGAAATACGAAAGTGTTCTCTTTAGCAGTTATCACATTTCTTTTAATGTCACAGATAATTTTAGACATAGAGTCCTCAGTTTCGGAGAAGGTTGACCACATCAAGGCCTGGGGCGAAAATTTAATAATAATAATTAGAAGAAATAAATAAATATAAATAAATACAAATTATAATAAAAATTAAAAAAAAAAATAATAATAATAATAATAATAATAATAATAAATACAAAAATGAAAAATAAATCAAGAGCGAGAAGCTATATACAGTACAGTATGTATGTTGTGTTGTCAATAATAAGAGAAACAATTCAGACCCTGTAATTGTAGCGTGTGCATTGTGTCTCCCGCTAGAGGTATCGTGGTTGGCGATGACGCTGGCCATGGCGGGTAAAATGAGTATCAGCGGCGCCTTCCAGATCATCTCCATATATTCCTCCGAGCTCTTCCCTACAAAGGTCCGCCTTCAAGGCATCGGCGCCTCCAGTGAGTTCTCCCAACTGGCCTCTACCGTCCTGCCTTACATCACCACCTACCTGGTATGTCTCCTTCCCACACACACACATCCGTAGTTACTTGTATACATATATATGTATATGATAGACACGCACATATATTAATGTGGACATTCCCACATATATATTCACAAATACACAAGCACACGTAAGCATAGGGCTCCATGCATCACATCTTCTTATATTTGCACGTGCACTCGCCACAAAAAGTTCTTGCGCGGCTGGGCACGACAGATTTCAGCACAGCACCATGGCTCGTATCATCTCAGAATGGTTGGTATGCCTGGTTGTGAAGTGACTCAATATTTCTTCATATTATGTTGCTCGTCTTTATAATATTTCAGGTGAAAATAAGTAATTTAATTTGCAATAAAACTTCCTCAGAAAACAATGTTCGGATTTCTCGTTCGTTTTATCATATTGTATGGCGCTCAGAGCGTTCGAGTAATTTTTGTGGCAAGTGTACGTACACATAATTTACTGTATACGAACACAAATACATACTCACGAAGGAAACAACAAAATTAAATACCCCTTCTTAATGCTAATGATTAGATCATTAGACAATTGATAATGATTCATGAAACATAGTTTTGGATCCACTTCCCATCGTGCCCGGAACAACTCGAGGTTAGGAGGTGGCACTGTCTTATTCTGTAAACCTTTGGCCACTTTTTTCTGGGAGATGTCAAGTCATACCACCTTATGGTAATCACAATTATTTATTGGCACAAAAGACTATATACTTACTCCAGATACTTATTAATCTATCAAAAGATAGCAGTGATCACAACCTCCACCCCACTTTAAAAAATCCTTGATCCACGATTTGTTAATTGCAAGATGTCTATAAAGTCTCAATCAATCTCACTGCGTTGTAACTGTGTACACGAATGGAAACAGTAACTATTAGAACTAGATCTCATTTGTCTAAAATGTTCTGAAAAGCAATTACTGCGAGATAGAGAAGGGAAATTCTATCACACAAGAGAATAAAATACCTTTGCGTCGGCCAGCGTTAGAGGTGGAAATCCAGGAATCGATCATAAAATGTTGATGCGGTGTTTGTTGAAAGTATGTATGTAGATCTGTTCTAGAAGTATTTAAGAAACTGATTGCAGCCAGAACACACAAAAGGGAATGTTCTTTGACTCAGAAGGTCAGGACGTCATATATAAAACTGATGGTGCCCTTTTGAATATTAAACTTAACGTATGATTGGGATTTTTTTTCACATAATATTCCTTAAGTTGTCTAAAATTAATTAATAAGGAAATTATTAAATTGATTTCAGGTGTATAACTAAACATTACACAAATTAAATTCCCTTTAATTGTCTAGAATTCATACGTGTCCAACATTTACTTATAGAATTTTCAACAGCAGTACAGACTGACTCACTCACTGACTCTGAGAACTCCTTTGGTGAGCGGGAGTGTAGAATGTAGAGGCATTATACTGTAGTTGTACTGCTGTTTGATATACAATTGTTACTGCTGTGAAATTCACAGTTTTTGTCGTTCTGAATATTTTTTAAACACTGTATAGTATACAAACCGTATACAGGGAGGAGAGGTGATAGTATTTTCAGTGCACATTCTGTGCAAACGTAAAATATTTAACCCCTTCACTACAGGGACGCCATTTTTTATTCAGCAGAAAAGGACCCCGTGCACAAGCTGTTAGTACGTAGACCATCTCCCTCATTCATTATTTCACTTTCCAGAACTCACAGATTTGTTATTCCTGTGTGTGTATCTTTACATATTCTCTTTTCACTCGCTATTTACTCCTCAAATTCCGGCAGATCGCCATTTCATCGCTGTCTTGCCTCCCCAGGGAACGTTTATCCCGTGGGTGCCTTCAGTGATCTTCGGGTGTTTGTCGATGATGGCGGGACTGGCAACACTGGCACTGCACGAGACGATGGGCATAGCACTCCCTGACACCATCAGTGACCTCTCCAGCACTGTCAAACGCACCCTCAAAAATAAGTATGAACTCTATTAATTGGGTGTATACTGTCTCCACCTTTTGTTTTGGTCAGTGTATATAGGATCAAAGAGAATATTTGTCTGCCACTGAGCATCCCGTCCTTTTGTGTGTGTGCGGGGGGGTAGAAAAGTCAGTTTTGTTTTATAAAGCTTCAGTTCCTTTGTACCATTATAGATATCTCACACACTATCCCAAGCACTTTTAGGCAACTACTATAGACGCCTCTCACTGAGGACTGAGAATGCTGTTCTTTTACCTTTAAGCCTGAATTTCTTTATTGTAAAAATTGTATGTATGTTTCTTTGCTAAGGTTGGATGTGTTGAAGTAAGCGCAAGGCAACAACTTAATACCCCTTATAAATAATTTCCGTGAGAACTTTGTAATGTGTAAAAGTAGTATTTAGTAATTTTTCAAGCGAAGAAAATATATATATATATATATATATATATATATATATATATATATATATATATATATATATATATATATATATATATATATATATATATATATATATATCTTGATAAAATCACACAGGAAAAGGGAAACAACGGAGCACCTTAGTTTTCGTCTTTATTCAAGACATTTTTAGAGGCAACTGAAGATGTCTTGAATAAAGACGAAAGCTAAGGTGCTCCGTTGTTTCCCTTTTCCCGTGTGATTTTATCAAGATTTATCTTATCCACGTTTTCGTTGTGGATCTACATGAAATATATATATAAATATATATATATATATATATATATATATATATATATATATATATATATATATATATATATATATATATATATATATATATATATATATATATATATATGCTGATAACCATAAGGAAAGAAGAAAACACGAAGTTCCCAAGTAAAGATCTTGCAACTAGAATTAAACAACACAAATACAGTGTTAGGACAGGCCAGGAATCCAATGCTCTGTTTGTTCATTTGAGGGATAACAAGCATCGCATTGACTGGGATAATGCCTCCTCAATATTACCTTGTAATTCAATTGATAGTAGGAACATCATAGAATCTAGTCTTAATTAACATACCGAAGCATTCAACATGAATTTGAGTAACTGCTTGTACAAACTGGACAATTTTGTAATTAAGAAGATTTTTAACCAGGTGAGAAGGGCGGGTCACCTTACCATCTGACCTGACCACCAACCGTTGCGGTGCTATTTAAAGATTAGTAGGGTCATTACCAAATACCTGACCATTGTGGACCTGGTCTCACCCTCCTCTGTATATATACACCTTGTTTTGTACTTCTCTTTAGTCTGTACTCACCCCTGAAGATGTGAATTACACGAAAGCGCTTGGGAACTTCGTGTTTTCTTCTTTCCTTGTGGTTATCAGCATATACCTAGATCACGTGCACTACAGTAATTTACTTGCATATATATATATATATATATATATATATATATATATATATATATATATATATATATATATATATATATATATATATATATATATATATATATATTTATTTATATTTATATATATATATATTACAGATCGGTCAAGAAGGAAAATGAGATTCATCTGAATATGTACCAGAGAAATTTTCTGAGGGGTATCCCAGTTCACCTCCTCCCTCTAAGCCTCCTGTACTAACGCTTTCCCTTTATGGTTATGGGACTGACAAAGCCCAAGAGGTCCAATAGCTCGGATATTTGACTTAATAAGGATCGCTTGGCGAGTATACTCTGGGGGAAATAAAGGTCTTTCAAACCAAGTCTGTCGGTCATAACATCTCTTTGTGGACGTAGTACAGGTTCTTCCTTGATAGTCTTGTTATCTGAATAATCTTGACCTATAATATTCCTCAATTCTTTATAATTTGCATTTCAAGTCTGCAGGGCTTAATGATAAATCTTAATAGCCTCCTGCTCTGTGTCAGTACTCCCCTGCAGGTTCTTCATGTAAAAAGTTTGTCCTATTTCTGGACATTGGACATCCTAAAAAGGATACCGCTGGGTACTGCACATTAAAAAAGGACTACAACAAGATCCAAAGGATACTTATTTAAAAAGATACGTTGTCAATGGACCATCTAACTTATGAGAATTTTTGGGCTACAGAAATCTAGTAAAATCTCTATCCTGTTCCCGCAGTCCCATTCTGAGAAGAGCTTTGGAGATGTCCGCCACATAAGTATATTTTTTAGTCCTAAAATTTGAGCAATATATCTCCCAATTCCTGTTAGATTGGGTCTAGATTTTTTTTTTTTTACAGGATTAGCCCACCCGGGCCCACATCGGGGCCTGGGGTCGAAAATATAATAATAATAATAATAATAATAATAATAATAATAATAATAATAATAATAATAATAAGAATAATAAGAATAAGAATAATGATAATAAGAATAATAATAATAAGAATAATAATAATAAGAATAATAATAATAATAATAATAATGATAATAATAATAATAATAATAACAATAATAATAATAATAATAATAATAATAATAATAATAATAATAAAGGACCATAAATAAATACAAAATGTTAAAAATATATATAAATTGTGAGAAACAATATATGTACTGTATGTTGTGTTGTCAATAGTGAGAAACAATTGAAACTGCAATTGTGTGTTAATGAGGCAGAAAGTCAGATCATCAACCTGGGACTTGGTCACAATTTTCGTGATGCCATATGGCAGCAGGGTCTACCATTAGACAACACATTATGCTTCCAATATATTCTCAGGCGGTAATACCTCCCTGTTTGGTAGCTGCCTACTACCTACTAGAGACAGTCGTCCAAATTAAGTACTGTACACATCCTTAGAAGTTCGAGAGTTACAATTAAATACCCCTTATTGGAGTAGTAGCAGAATCTTCCCTTACTGTGTGATGAGGTAAATAATGACCTACATTGTGATTCACCGTACCAGGGACTTCCTTTACGAAATTACTACTTAGTTGCTTCTTCTTGTATTGTCATAATGTTCAAGAACATTGCTATTTTCTCGCAATTTACTTAGCGTGGTATGGATTTGTCCCTGAGTCGCTCTGTGTTGCACCTTTTTGGGATGTTAGGTCTTTCTTGGGGTAGGGTTTCCATGCCTGAATACGATCATCTAGAGAAAAAAATAAGTTCCTAATATAAAATGAAATGGTAAAATTTAGTATTAAATTTATATCAATATACCATTCTAGAAATTTTTGTTATGCTGATCATCATCCTTTGTGTCCTTTCAAGGTATTTTAGGATTTTATAGGTGTCACAGAGAATTCTTTTAACAACAATTTTATTTTTGATTAAAAAGTTGGTGCTCCTAACAGCCAGGGGTGACAATAGCAGGGCTGAACCCAGACAACTATGGTCTACATAAACTTTTAATTGAAAAGTAAATTTTTTAAATTAATAGGAAAGGATCATGATTAAATAATACAGAGAACAATGTGCTGGTCGTTTACTAATAATTGAGGAATATATACAAGCCCTGCGTTACAGTAAGATATATTTTTTAATATATACTGTATGTTACACAGTCGTCATTACAACACTCCAAACTACGAAATCTACAACAATAAATCAAAGTAACCGAAACTTAATGCAGTTAAAAATTTAACACAAAAATTTAACACACTAAATGAAGGTTAATTAC